CCCCAAATATTATTTTAAACCCGCCCCCCCCACAATTTTTTTTTTTTTTTTTTTTTTTTTTTTTTTTTTTTTTTTACAAGGAAAGTCACCTGGACAGGTAAGTTTTAATGCAGTTAAACAGACATGCTGATTCATACCTGCATGAGAACCAGCCGGTAGCTCTGCAATGTAAAACCACCAGATGGCCTTTTCCTCAATCAATCATTTAGCTTAGTCAAAGGGCCAAAAAAAAGATTCCTGAAGCTATTCCTAGAAATCGTAAGTACTCTTCCAGTTACACCCTTTCTTATTTCCACAGCAGCACTAGACAAAGCAGCCCCTACAATTCATGCCCATTCACCACGTCTGCCCCCTCAATTTTGCTGTTGTAATCTCTCCTGCTATATTTCCCTACGCAGTCCGTCACTGGAGGGCAGCAAGATGAACAAGATTAGGACAGAAACAGGAACGTCTGGGGCTGTTTAAGCATGTTGCTCGTAGCTCAGTGTTGTGCAATTACGCCGTGTGAATATGAGCTTTAGCTTTACTACTGGATTCATGGAGGTATTTCAAATGCAGCAGCTGGAAGAGGAGAGCGGTATGCTGCCATCTACCCTGAAGTTTTCTAGTAATTACACAAACACTGTCAGCAATGAACAGTATTCAAGGGCAATCTTCAGTTTAGCAGGCTGGAAAACCCTTCTTACCTTCCCTACTTTTTTTTTCCCCTTCACGATCTGCGGAAGGTCAGAGTGGAGTCCAACTCGTTTTTAATCTTGATCAGAGCATCGAGCACCATAGGCCCACATCTATAACAGAAAACAAAGTCAGTGAACCTAGATAATTCCCCCCCCACCCCGCCTCAGTGCTTGACCTCTGGCACCCCAACTAAGCAGCACCTAAAAGGACTTTGATCAACTACAATTAAGAACGTTTTTTTTGCCAATCCCAGGCAACAAGACAGAGATATCTCGATCAGCAGCACAACCCATTCGCCTCAGCACACCGCAGGGTCAGGGTGGGGGAGAAGCCCTTTCTTTTGCTGATACCCTGAAGATCTGGCTCAGCAGAGAGGGTTCAGACAGCACAACTGAAAACCGAGCGCCTTGCTACCGGTTCTCTCCTTTTGGGTCAGGTTTTAACAAGTCTGCCTGTCCTCATTAGTCACAAGAGGCAGCGCTGCACACAAAAACAAACAGTCTTGGACAACTTATGTAATTTTATATACAGCAAACAAGGCAACACCCAGAAATTATTAACTGGTGCAAGTCACACAAAAATTTCAGCTCTCCATCATGTGCTTCTTAAGTAGGGAGCTATGTGGCTTTGCATCTGAAGCTTTCAGAAAGGGCTCCAGGTGAATTCCTCTGGCAAGATCACAGCAGCAACCGGAGCTCAGGGAAATCAAGGCACACGCGCCCATGCGAAAGTTTCTGCACCACAGGGAAGACTGCACCCCTTCGCAGCACCACAGAGAAGCAAGAGCTTTCCTGGCGATAGCTGCACCAAAGTGCGCAGGTGGTTACTACAAGTGTAACATGACCTGCAAATTAGGAGTAACTAAGTGTGAAGAAAACTATGAGAAGAGTTGATAAAGCTTCTGTGTTATCTCCCAGGTCTGGGACTGCAAGCTCCACGTAAAACAGTTTCCTTTTGGAACATGCCCCAAAATTTACCACATAAATAAAGCTTATTAAAGCCACAAACACATTCAAGTTTTCAACACAACTCAGGGACACAGGTAAAACCTAACAGAAGTCACAAAATGAAGTGACCATTTACTGCTGACAGCTATAGAGACACTGGCATTCAGAGTACGGTTTTATTTGCTACACTTAGCCCCGACAGGTGAGGGAGGCGAAAATAATCCCATGTGAACACAGTAAGATTTGCTTTATCAGGAAATAACACTGATCTTGCCTGCGCTGAGGACAAGGTGCTCTGTAACACAGCTGAGGCACCACCTCCCCAGCCACTCCAACAAGGTTTTAACAGTCCCTGAAGCTTAATGAGACTGCTGACACCTTCAGCTGTCAGCTCAAGTGCTCCTCAACCACCCTCCGTTATTGTTTGTTAGATAACCTGCGTGCACACACAGCCCCAGCACACCTGCCTGGCAGCAAAGCCTCTCCCTAATGGGGCATACTCACTTATTCAAATCCACTTCATACGTCTGCATGCGGGGCTTGTCCCCAGGCTTATCAGGATCCCATCTGTAGATGGCAAACTTCTTGATACGGGGCGCTGCTGCAGCTGCTGTCTGCGCTCCCCGACACATCTGTATTCAAACGACAGCAGAAGAGCCCTTAGGTTCCTTGGGGTGGCTTTTATCAGGGGAAAAAAAAAAATGACTTGATGCTGCATGCTTGGGGGCGAGAGCTGCAGGACCCATCCCTGCTTTGTATTTGGGCACTCATACAGTTTTTGGAAAATCTTCCCAAGGATTTGCTGCAGCAGCGTACCCTGGCACACGCAGCCACCTCTGTCCTGAGGCTCCCTCCTCTGTGAGGCAGAGGAGATAATCCTAAAACTGAGGGGCAACCCACAGGTGCTCCTGCAGCGCCTGCAGACACGCTTTCTTCCACAACCCTGAAGGCTCTCCCTGCCCCAAAACTGCCCTCAGAAGCTCCATGCCACCTCTCTACGCAGCCCCAGGCCAACCAACCACCTCCTCCCAGTATTCCCACAGAGGCTTCTTCCCTCTCCAGCCCACCTGCCTCTCCTCACCTCTCCCCAAATCACCCCACATCCCTGTTCACCCTGTTCCCACATCTCTTCCCAACCCCCTTTTGGATCTCCTGCACCCCCCCAGTCTCCTATCAACCTCTATCTCCCCCTAAACCCACCCCAGAACCCTTCCCACTCCTTCTTGCGCCCAGACCCTCCCCAGCATCCCCCTCACACCCCCTCCTGCCCCCCCCAGCCCCCCTCCCCTTCCCTTCCTCCCTCTTCCCCA